GACCCCGGGGAACAGCTGCCAGCGTGGCTGCTGTTGCAGTTCTTGCAGGTCTCCATCAGACTCCGGAGCGTGAAGCTCCCCTGGGCAGCGGTGGCCGAGCCTGGCCCTGCCCGCCGAAGGTGGTCCTTACAGTCATGGGTGTGCAGAGGGCTGTGTTTTGGTGCATGTGATTTGTGCCACACCTGGACCTCCAAAACCCCCCCCACGGGAATAACTTTGCAGGGCTGTGCCCGCGTGTTGGAAGGCAGAGAGGTCTATAACAGCTTTCCAGCATCTCGGCTTTATAGTGACTCTCGGAAACCAGTGAAATAGGTAGGAAAGGTCAGCCTATGCCATTGCTGACATGTGCTTTTGTTAGAAAAGGTTGCAGCAGGTCATTACCTGGTGCCACCAAGCAGTAGGAGGTCTCCATAGCAAGCTTCCCGGTGGCTGCAGCACAGCTGGGGACCTTGTTCAAGCTCTGCAGCTTCAAAAGCCTGGACCTCCCCCCCTCTCTTTTACTGCTGGGTTGGTGTCATGTTTAACACTAATTTCTTAAAAAGCCGTGCCAGTGTCTGAATTTTCTAGTGGGAGGATAAGCTCCTCCTGGTAGCCATTTGTTGTTGCAGCACTTTGTGCACTTAAGTGCTCGGCCCTGGCAGGATTCACGGCCAGCTCTGGGAGGGAGCGAAGGCACGGTTGCAAGGGGACCAATGCTGGGGCGCGGTGGTTTCACTCACACAAGATGCTTTACTACATCTGCTTTATTTCATATTTCACTTCTAGCTGCTTTTCTTTTGCTTTTTGACATAGCGAGCTCTTCCAAGGGCTCTTCTGTGAGGCTGCTGCGGATGTTCAGCATTATGCCTGTGACTTCAGGGACACTAATTTCTAAGGCATGCTTCTGTAGGAAAATAGACTTGCAGAAATAATACCAGCACGTTTATTTTCTGCAGGGTTTATAGAACCTCATGTTCTGTATCTTTCTGGCATCTGGTCATTCCAGCGTGTTTTAGTTGCATTAAATAGTCAACAATAAGCAACGCAAAGGCTTGAGTTACGTGTGTATGGGAATAATGAGGCGAAGTCATGGATCGCTCCCTTTCTGCACAAACAGCGAGTGGCAACCTTAATAACATGCTTTCAGGTAATTATTGCTGTGTTTTAGATCATTTTGGTATATACTTATGCGATGTATTTGATTTTTTAGTCTCTATGTTTTGCTATGGAAGGAGCACAGGAAATGTTTAACGGGCAAGCGTGCCTAGGTTGCTCTCGCATTTCTGTTTTCTTATCAGCAAAACATAAATCCGCAGCTTGCTGACAATGAAACCATATGGTAACTCTGACAAATCGATTTTGTGATACAGATAATCCTGTCTGTGCATGAGAAGAGATATTTTGGATTATTTTGTCTTAATTCTTGCATTACTCTGTATTTTTCAGTGCCTGGAAAATTCATTACTCTGTATTTTTCAGTGCCTGGAAATCATGTATGTGGCTATTTCTGAACACAGTGGTTTGGGTGAATTAAGAATTTATGGAGTAAGCTACACTTTAGTGTCTTTACTTTGAGGACAGTTATTTGTCATATGAAATAATCTGTTTATTTGCTATAGCAAATGCCCTTCTGTGCTGGCAGACGGTAGCAGCAGTTTCAGATACGTTTTGAACACTGGGTATCCTCTTAGTGTGAAGCCAAACTAAGAAATGCAGTTGTATAAATTAGCTCTTGCTTTACAAGAAGCTGCAGAAGTAGCTGCAGGAACTTGAAGGGGTTCAGCTCTTTGTGCCCTGAAGGGAATTGGCTAGCCGATGGCTGATGGTCATCCCGGTTCACCAGAGCTGATGCTGTACGGGGGCATGGTACGCAGAGTGGACAAGGCATTTTGTTAATCCTTTTCAATGAGTAAAATGAACAAGCGAGAGTTCTCACAACTTCTCTTGGACTTCAAAATAAATTAAAAAAATATGTCCAGCCTTTGCTTCATAGGGATGTATCGGCAAGTGAGTTTTCTTCTTGAGCTTGGCAGTAGTAGCCAGTATCTGGAAGTGTAAGCAGAGCACGGGCCTGGGAGTGGAGAACGACAGCGAGGAGTAATGGGAACTAGGCGCTGGAGACACATATCAAGTCTAGGAACGATGCCATGAAGCTAATCAAAGCGAAACAACACATCGTGAATTCTCCCGTTTACTACAAACTATGTAGAAATGGCTGATAGGCTGTTAATTCCTCAAGCGCTCCTCCTAGCTTTAGGTGCTGGCTGTCAGGCACGAATCTGTGGGGTTTGAGAGGCAGCTATTGCAAAAGCTACGTGAGCAATAATTAGGGGTTTTATTCAATTTTACATTTCTGGGTGCTAACAGTTACTGCAACCCAAGACCTGAACGTGGTATTTTCTAGATATTTAGAAAAGAAATATAAATCAAGATGTAAATCTGGTCAGCACAAATGTTTATGCAGTATTTGTGTTTTACTTCAGGAGGCAATGCAGCCTCAAACACCAGCCTCAGCTGAAAACAAAAATATAAATATAATTAAAAAAATAATGATAAAGTTCTTGATTTTAGTAAATTTGGTCAAATAGACATGCCTGAAGAGTATTCAAAGGATAAATCTATATGGAACATCTGCTTATATAAATACAAGGATGGAAGCTTACTAAACAGTGTTTTTCTGGAGATGGAAGGGTAAAATTAACCTAGCAGAACAGTGAATGCAGCAAGTAACCACAAAAACATTACAGTTAATAGCAAAGGATGCTAGAGCTTACAGGAGTTATTTTACAAATGAGTTGTTAGAAGACCATTGCTGATGAAAATTAGGGCAAATTTTGCCCAGAGATATTACATCCGAACTTGCATAAAATTCACAAAGTCATACCGGCAAAAATCCATCTATGCATTTCAATAAAGGCATTTGTAAAAAGCAAAAAGTAGTGACACGTTTAATGTTTTGACTTTGGTGGGAAGAAATTGCGTTGAAAAGCTCTTAGACGAAGAAGAAGAAATGGTATTTCTACTCTGGCCCAATGCAGGTACATGAAATGCAGCGGATGAACCTTCAGCTCAGCACCTGTGTAAAGCCGGGTATAGAAGCTTTCGAAAGTTTAGCTCTCGTTAGCTGTCGTTAAGATGAGCCTCTGGGGTTCCTGCTCCTGTTACGTTGATATGGGAATGATCCTCTGGGGATGACACGGTGCTGTTACAGCCCTGGCCAAAGCGAGGAAATGTCCGTGGCTTCACGGGACATGGGCTGTTAGAAATCTTTGCAGTGCTCAAGTGAAGAAAATATTTTAAAATCCATGGCTGAGGAATAATGCTGACAAGGTCACTGACATTGAGAGGTTTTAATCACTCGGCGTATCATGGGCAAGGACAGCGCAGGAAAGGGTCAAGAGCAACCAGCTGCAGCTGCACATGTTACTCAGCATGGCCAATGCTGGATTAAATGAAATATGCCTTGAAAGAAAGGATCCAGTGCCAAATGGTCTATTCTTTGGAGAGCAGAGGCTGAATAACGAGTCCAGGTAAACCGGCAAGCCTGCTGAACGTGTCTAATGAGGGCTGCTATGGCGGCTAAGCAGATGTACTTTGAATCAAATTTGGCCCTGAATTACTTTCTGCATCTCGTGCAGCTGGAATTGTCACCGACGTCAACTCTTAAGTATGTGATCCGATATCTAAAAATAGCCTTGAAAGTGTAAAATGCAAAAAGGTAGATATTTTGCAGCTTAGGACAATGGTTTTTCATGGTAAGTCTCCGAGTGATTAAGGTAAAAAGAAAAGCCCAAGCTCGTAATGCTCATCTGAAGTGGGGAGGAAGGTTGTCCGATGCACACACCCCATGTGTTACAGTAATGGGATGTTGGAGGGAAGGACAAGAGACGAAGGGAAACAACGCTCTAGGAAATACCTGCTCTCGTGGAGGCGAACTGCTGCCACAGTAAGAGACTGAAAGAAGTGGCAAAACAAAGATCTGCATGGAATTAAAACAGGCATGTTTTTAAAAGCTAGTCCTCAGTACATATTTACTTAGTAGATTAGACCGGTGATTGTCACTGTGGTTTCTGTTTGGTCTTTTGCTGAGATGTCTTTGAGTTGGTTTTCCAGGGGGCTGGGGTTTTTAAGGGCGTAAATTGAAGATAGGTAGTAAGCCTGTCTGCTGCGGTTTGATTGCAGAAGCTTAATGACCAGGGGGGAGTTTTAGTATTAAAAATAAAATAGATGTGCTATCAACATATGATTCTGTCAAGATCTTCTCAAGGAGGCTATTAAAACTCTACATTTCTTTTTGCTTCTAAGTGTGGGAAGCATATTTTCCCCCTTTTAATTTTTTTGTGTGTCACCGTAGTGCTTGCAACTCTGGTCTTGCAACTGCGACCCAGTTGCCTCTGAGTCTGCTGAAATCATTTGGAAATCCAGCAAAAGATAGGGAACTTGGGCTCTGATGCAGAAGCTGTGCTGGTATTTAGTAAATTAAAAAAAAAAAAAAAAAAAAAAAAAAAAAAAAAAAAAAAAAAAAGATTATGTAAAACAGTTTCCAGATTCTGTCAGTGCGCAGGTACAAAACCAGAAAATGTATTTATTGTTGTTATCTTTGAAGTATATCTGGATATTATATGTTGTCTTAATGACCGATCATTAAAATTCGTGTTTAAAATGAGTGTGAAACAAGGAATGTTGTGACAATAAACCCCAATGTATAAAGTTAGTGGCTGACGTTAGGTGGCCGAGAGGAGAACAGCTCCGTGCCTCAAAGAACAGCAGTGTGAACGACAAAGAAAGAGAGAGAGAAAAGCCGAATGAACAAAAACGTACTAAAAATTAATTACATACTATAAAGCAGAGTTTGTCGCTTGAAAGTGGAGATAAGTCGAACGTATTCGTGCTGTATGTGTGTGTCTCTCTCTGTCCCCGCCCTGTTCAGTGGCTTTTGAACCTGCCGGCTCATTTCAGCCAGGACTAACAGAGGTGCAGCGCTCTTGAAAGATAGGAAGTTTCTGTAGGATCACGAAAAGATGCTACCAGGTAGGCTCAAACGTTGAAATATGTGATCAGTCCATTAGATCTTGGGAGGTTTGCAAGGGGGAAGATACGCTTTGAGTACTCCCAGCGTGGAAGATGCCAGCCTGAGTACTTAATTAAACACACAGAGTCCAACAAGACAGGAATCCGTAGGAGACCATGCCACTCACAGAATGGCTTTTTTTTTATTATTTTTATGTTTAATATGTACCAGTCTAAGTAGATAATGTTGCAACACGAGTAAAACCTCCCTTTGCGCCGGGGGTCAGGGCAGTGGAGCTGTTGAACGGCACCGAAGGGGGTTTGGCGTTGGGCTGGTACTTGGCAGAGCAGTCAGCATCGCCCGCCCTGAGGTCTGTTACTTGTTTTGACCATTAACTTGGACTGATTTACAATCCGATTGCAATAAAACTTAAGTGGACCTTCGCTTTTGGCTCTGGCGCTGCATTGTCTTGCTTTGTTTTTGTTCCGCAGGGCAGTGCAGCCACGTCTTCCCTCCCCAGCTTGGCACACTGCAGATCATTCACGGCAACGGCACGGCCGTGGGGACGGTGATAACGTTCCAGTGCTCTGCCGAGCACCAGCTGGAGGGACCAGGCGTCATCACCTGCATTTGGAAAGGGAACGGTACCCAGTGGACAGCCGGAGTGCCCTCCTGCAAGCGTAAGGTTCTTTCCAAACCATTCCCAGTCCCTTTGGGCTGCACTGTGTTTATTTTGCCCTGCCTATCTCCTACAATGGTCAGATTAATTCTAGACATCTGTGCAAGGAAAAAGACAAATTCAATTTCCTTCAAAGTTGCCCCCACTGACTGTAATTGTGCTCCATATGTGTTCTGACATAATTCATTATCGTGACACAGAAAAGACTCAGTCGGATTTATGCCTGATCTCACATAGTGACTCCGGTAGTGTGGTACCCGGAATAACTGTGGCTCTGTAGCTACAAGCTGTACCCTTCTTTTGAAAATGTATAGATATGACCAACTAATGTGCAAGCATATTTGCAAACCCTGTAATCTCCTGGCATTCTTTTCTGAAGATATTTTTGCTGTAAAAGAAACACAGAGATATTTTTTGAACAGTTTTAGGTTGCTGCCTGTGGGCAGCCGCATGGGAAAGTTACCATATTGACAAATAGCGTTTGAATGGCAACAACATTAACTACCTTTCACGCTGTGTTCCTTCTTATTTATTATAAGGCTGTTAGTAATTTGACTAGAAGCAGGCCCAAGCAAAACATGGTACCTCTGAGCTTTGAGAATCTCAGTCTGTGTCTCAGACCTTGTATGATTTTAAATCACTGGTAGATGGATGGCTCTTTTAGACACCTATCGCTCTCTCACAAACTCAGCTATTCTTATCTCTCATTTGAGAGACTCCATTAAAGAAAAATGAGATAAATCCTCCCCTCCAGAGGCCGCAGAAATGTAAAGGTTTGTGTGGAGCTCAGCTGAACCATTTCTGATGCTGGTCATCGCGATGTTGGAAGAACTAGATGAGTTTTGAAGCAAGACATGCTTAGTGCTCCAGATGAGTTGGCAGAGATCTGCGTTAGCTGTGCCACACCACATTCCCACTCCTCCTTTTGTCTGGATAATTCACTTCCAACATCAGGTCACTGTGAACACTCAGCCCTGCAGATACTGTCCCTTCCATCCTGCATCCTTCCCCAAACAGGGGAAGACCTGTTGTTCCCTGCCTGCCAAATAGGATGTTACTATATGGAACTCTCCTTGCTCTGAAGGGCTTCTTTAAACCCATTTACCCCTGTCAGTATTTGTTTTTGCAGCTCCAGTCCTTGTTAACAATTGCTTATAGGAGTCTCCTACCTCATCTGCATTTGATATGCCGACAAAGTTGTGCTTTTTAGCTACTGCAGTGCTAAAGGCATTGTGTTTAATTAGTTGCAGTGGTGAAATACTTGTGAACAATTCATTAGTAGCTTATAAACAGGAGATTTTTAAATAGCCCAATTTGAGGCTTGCGTAGCTCTAAGCTGAAGCCAAGATACTCTGGTATCTTGACACATACTAACGTGGACGTCCTCACTGAGCAGAAGTGTGAAGCAGACAGGATTCAGCATGGTTTAATGAAAATGTGAAAGATAAGTTCATGGGTTGACCTTAGAAATGTGCTTCTCTGTTTGCTTTGCTGCAGCCATATCAAAATATGAGACTTTTGGATTTAAGGTCGCAGTGATTGCCTCTATTGTGAGCTGTGCCGTCATTCTGCTGATGTCCATGGCTTTTTTAACTTGTTGTCTTATCAAGTGTGTGAAGAAAAGTGAAAGGAGGAGGACTCAAAGGTATGTCAAGAAAAGATTTTTAAAACCGGCATAAGACTGTACATCATATGGACCCCATTGCTGTGATAGCAGAGAGCTTCAAAGGACTTGATGCTCGCAACACCACAATGATGTTAGTTACTTAAAATCCTTAATTTGTAGGTTAGGCTTTAGGCATAGAAAGACTTGGAATTCAAGACTATTTAGGCACCTAATGTCTGTTAATATCAGATGACCTCAGTGGGCCTGGGCAGATCTGGATTTACCCAGGATTATGCAGAAGCTGAACATACAAGTCTTATTTGCTGGCCCAGTCTTTCTCTCCTTGAATTATTTAAGATTGGCTGCGTTCTCCCTTCTTCTCTCTCTTTCATCTTTTTCCTTTGCTTTCCTTGAACACTGCTGGGCAAATTAATCTACCCATGTCAAAACCACCAAAGCCCTCACTGTCTGCAAAGCATACTTAAAGCTGTCACAACACTGTGCTGGAAGGATGTCGGATTTTGTCTTCTGGCTTGAAGTGCAGGATTATAGACAGGCACGGGAAGAAGTAAAATTTACCAATCCAGTCCATTATAAAAACTCAGTGTGAAGGGTGACTGCGTGACCCCCTCTGGCTGTACGCTAAAGCCGAGCCACTGTTGTTCATGAGAGCATCCACCCAAAGTCACCTGCTGCAGGCGGCTTTCCACGGGCACCTCTTCTTCGTTTCCCTCCCACTTCTCCTGCTCGTCGTTCCCACCGCTGCTCGTAACTCAGCGGGGTGGCTGCACCCTGTCCCGCTGATGCCTGCTGTGCAGACAGTAAGCTGCACTTCTGGTTGATGCTAAGCCTCTTCTTGCTTCAGAGAAGTGTTTGGAGTGAGGTGGGGTAGCGGTGGAGGAGAGGGAGACTGGGGAGGACACGAGTGAAGGTCTCTCTGCTCCGGGCTGTGTTTTATCTAGAGCTGTGTGGGAATCAGCTTAGGAGGGAAATTCTGTCATTTTGAAATCTGATTGTAACCAAAATACAGATTTTCTGTTTCCCTTGAAAGGATTTTGTGAGGCAAAAAAGAAAGTCTTTGGTGTCATTCATAATATTAGGTTTTCACTGATAGTATGAAATAATTTTTTAAATGAAAGGGTTGATTGGCATTTTTGGAATCACCGCTTTTCTTTTTGATAAGACTATTCATATCAAAGTCCTTGTTTTTCATTTATTTTAAATGGAGTTTTGTCCAAACTAGCTGTTCACATGACTTTGATGACTTGATATTTTTCTCACACAAAAGAAAAGCCCTTCACACCAGACGTTTTGACCTGGTTCTGTCATCAGGACATAAAATGATTGCCTGTGTTGGGAGCTTCTCAGTTCCCTGCTGCCCTCTGTCCTCCCTTCGCTGCCTCCTGAAGGAGCTGCTCCAACCTGGCCCATCCACGACTCAGCCCCGCTCCTGGGGGGGGGAACCTGGGGGCACTGCAGACATTGTGTGGCTCGGCCCTGCTGTCAGAAAGCAACTGAGATGATGGAGAAACCGTCCATGTCACGTGAGAAAGAGTAACACATGCCTGTATGAAACTTGCTCGCCCCGCAGCCCGTGCTGCAGAGTGTCAGATGTGGCGGTAGCGCTGCTGCAGCCGGGCGTCCAAGGGGGCGTAAGTGCGCGAGGGTCCGCACGTAGAGAAAACGTGGATCAACTTTTGGATGCACAGAGCATGGCCCGTGCTGCAGGGTGTCAGATGGGGCGGTAGCGCTGCTGCAGCCGGCAGCGTCCAAGGGCGTAAGTGCGCGAGGGTCCGCACGTAGAGAAAACGTGGATCAACTTTTGGATGCACAGAGCATCAATCTGAAGAGAAGCTGCAGGCTTGATAACACAAAATGAGGATACTTGGTAGGGGATTAGTTAAACAAGTGTCTCTTAGACCATCTCTGAAAGAAAAGGTAGTCTGTACCGTTGGGGTAGGGAGGATGTCCTCATCTTGCCTTTAGCTTTGAAGTCTGCCTGTCTACTTTTTTTGGCTCTTCTAGTTGGTCTACTAGAAAAGATCACCTCTGCCTACAAACCTGTCTTGCAGGGTATCTGTTTGATGATCTTTGAAGTGCCATCTTGTGTTTTATCCTTGCATTTGGAAAGAAAAAGGACAAAGGCTGCTGAAAATCCTCACATAATTTAGCCTCCTCGCAGACCTTGTCCGACGGCGTGAGCGTAGCTGCCGTTTTCTTTGGTAGGGGCAGGATTGCATCCTGAGAGGACAGAAATGACACCAAAATCAACATCGCCAGCCCTCACAGTTTAATCGCGTCCCATCAGCTAGTGTCAATGTCTGTGATTATGCAAATCTTAGACTTCCTTTAAAAACAAGAAAAGAAATTGTGATGGTTTTTTTTTGCCCCAGAGTTGTAGAGAGCAGCATGAAAAGCGCCTTGAGCGTTTCTGAAAGGAAATCCTGAAGGCAACTGAGTAAGCCGTGCTCTTAACAAAGGCAACACTACCCGTCTCCTCCATTTTTAAGTCAATTCATCTTTTCAACGTGCCTGGTGATTTTTGAACCCTTAGGAATGGCAGTGCTGCAAAAATTCACAGAAAATACTTTTTTTTCTGAAATAATTTATTCCATAAAATGGGGATGGTCTGTAGTCTTTTCACGTACAACAGGATCTGGCCTGATGTGTGTCACTGATGAAGATCCATGAGAACGTTGACACAACATCACGCCTTATGTGACTTTCCCTATTGCCTGTAGTCTCAAAATCTACTGAATCAATTTGACATAATTATTGGGGTTTTGTTCCTTTGAACTGTCCACAGATGCTCACAAGAAAATTGCTCTTTTTTTTGTTTGTTTGCTTGTTTTTTGAGGAGTGCTGGATAATACTTAAAATAACACTATTTTACAGAATAATGTTTATGCTATTTAAGAACCCCCCACCTTAAGGTATTTAAGCAGGCATTTAAGTCTCTGGAAATTTGGCTTACAGTTGAAGTTCAGCACGTGTTTAAGTGCTGTCTTCAGTAAACCGGGATTTAGATTTAAGCTCTAGTGAGTCAGGGCTGTGGTCAGATAAAAGCTCAGATATACAGCCGTTCATCACAGTCACGTATTTTACCCCTTGCTTTCTTCGCAGAGATATGCAGCTGTGGTATCAGCTCAGAACTGAAGAACTAGAGCACATGCAAGCTGCTTACTTTGGTTTGAAGGGAAGAAACAATAACAACAACAATAAGAAACTCAGGAATAAATCCGTATTTGATGATGTGACTAACACGGCATATGATAACCAAGGCTTCTACAGGTAAGGCTATTAAAATATAGAGGGTTTGAATGAGTTTGCTGAACAAATTTCAGAAGGAGGATTCCTTGAAAATGCATTTTAAAGGGATGTCCCTAAAGAGGACGTGATGCCGGTGGATTGTCAGGGCTTGTCCTTGAACTTGCCCGTCTTGTGGGGAATTAATGTTGCCAAAAGGTGAGACAGCAGAGAAGCTGAGCGTGACCTCCCTCCTTACAGCTTCTTTCATCTGTCCCCAGTAGTGCTTGGTTAAGCCTGGTCTGCAGGGGAGGTTGCACTGGATTGACTGGAGAGAGGTTTTTAATTGGCTTTGTTAAATTGATGCTAAACTGCAGCAGGAAAGTCACTACTCTCTGTTGGTTAGTGGTGTCAAGGTGCCAGCTTGCCTAAGAGCCGTAGGACAGGAGCCAGGCAGGGACACCTGGGGCCGCGGTATGGCTCAAGGTGGGCACCGAGTATTACCATTTATCCCTCAGCGACCACGAAAGTTCTCTTGAGAAATACTGTTTCGTTATCAGGGTGTGCAGGGCAAACACAATGGGATCCTCATCCGCAAGGCAGCGTGAATGCTCACGGTGTGGGAACCCTCACCTGGGTAGTCCAAAGAAATGTCCACGCTGGAATAAAGCGCGTCACGTACTGTGGATGCGGGGATGGTGGGCATAGGTATTTTTTGTGTCAGTTCAAAATCACCTCTGACAGTGTCCCGATGTGTTACGCTGGCTGTGTTGTTGCCAACAGAAGAAAAACAGAAAGATGAATACGTGTTAAATTCTAATCGCTGTTTTGCTATTACCATTCATATAAACGCACGTCATTGTGTCTTTTATATCCTTTGGGTTCTGCGTCGTCATCAGGTACGATAATACATAGCACAATCCTTGTTTGCTTTTAATTCACTGCTCACTTGTACAGCTTTTATGTACAGCAGTATCTGTGATGTGTAGTGGTTACCTGCAGAAAACAATTTTATACAGATTATAAACCTACTTCCATGTCACAGTGCAGCTGGAAATTATATTCAAACGGAGCACTTGCACAAAAGTCTGATGTCTGCTTAATCAATTCCTAGCTTTGGGTGATTTCAGAAAGATGTATAAAGCTAATTAAATGCTGATTATAACCTAAACAGTTTTTAGAAGACTCAGGATGCAATTTTTAATTTTGGGCAACTTCAATCTGCTACAATGTTAATGTTTTGTATAAGTGTAATCTGCTTTTAAAATAATACGGATAAACTTATAAAGGGCTGTAAACAAGTTAGTGCTCTGCTGGAGCCACGAGCTCCTTCTGGGTTCTTATCTGCACCACTCCACGGAGCAGAAGCTGCTGTATTATGTTTACCAAATTCTGTACCCTTTTTCTTAACTGAAAGTAGCAGGGAATATACAATCCTTCTGGATAAGCAGCTTCTCTGGGGCCAGAAATCAACAAGTTTATTATTTCTTTAGAAAACTGGAGAATGTGTAAACTTCGGTGGGGAATTGCAGAGGGCAGGAGGAGGAAAGCCTGTGAGCTCTTTTTTTCCTATGTAGAACACTACACATGCTGTGTTAAATACTGGTGCACATACCCACCTCCTGATGCAGGAGGTCCGCTATTAATCGAGGTCTACTTTATTTCCAGCATGCAGAGGTGATGTGATCCCGGCTAATCGCTAGCCGGAGCAAAAATCAGCTAGGAGAGCAGGTGTATTAGTCTCTGCACCCCAGAGCCAAAAGTCGAGCCCTTTCTCACGTGGAGAACGGGTGCCGCTTCTAATCGGAGGTGGAAAAGGCATTGAAGCTGTTACAGACCCTGAATAAAACTGTCCTGGAATTGCTCTAGGAACAGGTGTGACCCTTTATCAATTTGTACCTTGTTCCCTTTCTTCACTCAAATAAGATCTATTTAATCAAGGTTAGTAAAAGATGCTAATTTCTACTGGTTAACTCTGTCAAATGGATTATGCGCAGGATGAGATGTGGGAATTCTGCTAACGTATTTCATGCCAACTCTTGAAGGCAACAAATGATCTGGCAGCTTTGTGTTTCACTTGCAAGACTTATTTTTTGTGCGTAGCGAATTAGGCTGGTTCATCATCCTGTGCACATCCAGCTTACTGGAAACAGCAGGACAGTGCAGGCAAATCCCTGGGGAGGTGCAAACACGAAGCTGGCTTATGCTGGGAAGACCGGCATGAAAGGACCTGTTTACTACCTGGGTTGTTCCTGCGGTACCTTTCTCCGTTTAACGTGAAGTGGACGTGTTGGCAGCCTACGCTTGGAGGAATCTCTAACCGTGTGGGTGTTGCTGTAGTGGTGGAGCTGTTATAGCGCTGATTGTCCGAGGAAATAAATAGAGGTGATTGGAAAAAAGCAGCAAAACTGAGGGCAAGCAAGCCCGAAAGAAAGCTTCTGTACATTGCTGTGTGCATGTGAACCAAAGCATGCGTCCGTGGTCACAAACAAGCCAAAAGACAATTTAACCAAGACAATTTAACCAAGGCTCCTCAAGGAAGGTTCAGACTTGACATTAGGAAACATTTCTTTACCGAGACGGTGATCAAACCCTGGAACAGGCTTCCCAGAGAGGTGGTTGATGCCCCGAGCCTCTCAGCGTTCAAGAGGCATTTGGACAATGCCCTTAATAATTTGCTTTAACTTCTGGCCAGCCCTGAATTGGTCAGGCAGTTGGACTAGATGATCGTTGCAGGTCCCTTCCAACTGAAATACTATATTCTATCCTATCCTATCCTATCCTATCCTGTCCTATCCTGTCCTATCCTAGTGTTAATGTTTCAGACATGTGGAGGAATTTGTGCAATGCATCGCTAGACCTCTGAGCAAATCAGAAATCCTACTTTGTTTTTCTAATAAGGAACTCTCCTAAAAAGCACGGGAGGCTGATGGTTTTCTCCCTGCCTTTTTCAGGGCCGCAGTACGCGTGGTTCTCTGTGATACAGCCGTGGGAAGTGGCTTTGCAACCCACTTAGAAGGGGAAGGCTGAGAGATGAGTGGTGCCCTTGTCTGAGAAAGGAGTGGGTGGAGGCTTGGCAATTTAGGTCGTTTTTACGATAGCATTTCCTTTTCTTAAAGAAAATTGTTCTGCTGCTTCTTCATGTAACATATGAAGTATCTGGAAGAGTGGGAACTCCTCCACCCTTCAAGAAGACCCTCTTGAGTATATCTTAGCCTATTTTTGACTAGAAAAGGATGTAGGTCATGCTGCTTTTCAGACTTAACTGATTCACCACTTTAAGGATCAAAAATACTGTAAGAACAAATAAAATAAAAAGCCAATTCTTTCAGGTATGCCAATATAAAATAAAACAAAAAGCCAATTCTTTCAGACAGGTAAGATATTTGTTATGGTTTACAGAGTAATTTAGGATTTAAAAAACTATCATCTGTTAAAGCGGTGCCTTGGTATGGCGATGAGATAATTTTGGCTGTAACGAGGTGACATAATGTGGATGCAGAATGCTGATGTATAGAAGTTATAAATAATGTAGAAGCCCAGCTGTTGGACAGTAGAGGCCCCAGTGTGCTGTTCTGGACCTGTCTGCCGCCAGATGAGATCTTCTTCCCCTTGTGTTTGAAGCATGGAACAAATGTGATGAATATATAGTTTTGCAGGGAAGTGTTGAATTTTAGCGGCAACTACTCTAATTATAATGAGCCCCATTCTGGCTTCTTGGCTGCTTGAACAAATTGCTTTAAAATGCTGAGAAAAATGTCTACAAATACCTGCGATCATTAACTACAGAATGCAGTCACTGTTGATGCCACCTCTTTCATTTGGATGTAAGGAATCATAATGAGGATAAAAATACCAATTTTTAGCAGACAGTCTTATACGCAGGAGCTGCAAGCGTTACAGCATATTTGCTCTTTTATAATATTTGAAGAGCTAATACTGAGCAGGGAAAGCCAAGTTACAAGGCATGGGGCCGCTGGGAGGGACATGTTTTCCCCAGCATTGCTTCTCAGAAGTTTAGAGCGTAGAGCAGAGATAGCAGGTTGCTGCGTGATGCAGAGGTTTGAGACAGATTAGCTGAAGAAAAGGGTCTGTCATCTATGGGAGGGAGATTAGCTGCAGCTCTGGGCCACGTAGTTAGAGGAGAACAATGTGCATGAACTTCCAAAACAGCCCCCTGGGAGGATTGCTAGGCAGAGGCAGGGCTTGTCAACACGGGGATATATTGGGAATAGCTCTCACAGCCTGACTGCAGTATGTAATAGGAGAAAAGCCTAAAATCAGTAAATTATATTCTGCTCTCTTTAACATTTTAAGATTTAAAAGTCTTCCCAATTCTGCATGAGAATGAAACCAGGACTGTTGGCATCATTCATCCAAAGTGAGGGACCTTCCTCAAAGCAGCAGAGAGCACCACACCTGCTTGGGGTTAGAGGGGCACTGTGGGTCTCGCCGGGGAGAGTCCTGGGCATCAGGGACATTTGGTGTTGCAGAGGAACCAGCACTTGAAATGCCGTGCTGGGTTTAAGAGGTTTTTTGAAATGGGTATGTTATTTTTGAGTCAGTTATTTTCTGATGAAGGGTAATACCTGACCCTGCAGTAATCCTTCTCTGGAATAATTGCTTGGGCAACCACCACCCGAGATGAACAGTCCTCTTCCATCCCCAGCAAACAGCCATGTGGGAGAGCTTGGACTGAGTCAGCTGCCTGAGCAGGCAGGTTGTCCTCTGCCCCGTGACAGGCACAGGGCAAAATACCAGCAAAGAGAAGCTTAATGACAGCTGTCCTTCCTCTGCGCCAGCTACTGGTAACGTTTGAGAGATGGAGGTGGATGTCAGTGAGGGTGATACTAAAGAAACTGGTGTCGAAAAGACGAGTGGGGTCACCCTAAGGCGGGCATGGGGGCACGCTCAGCCGCTGCCGTGGGCCAGCTGTAGCTGTTCCCCAGGTGAATGGTTGGTACAGGTGGGTTGAGGCAGGTTTGGCCTTGGGATCCCCTGCCTGGCGTCAGGCGGAGAAACTCCAGCAGCTTGCTTCTGACTCC